CGTACGACGACGGCGACGACGAGCTGCGCCGTGTACCATCAGCTGCTATAATATACGTAGTAGTACCTACAAMATATGGTTAGGTACATGGTACATGACTATATACCTAATAATAATATAATATGCCTACCCGTRTATATATTGGTTGGCCCGAAGATCCGACCGGAACACGACCGCCGCCGCGTATTATAATAGTAATATAATATAAAATCTCCCACCTCATCCACACAGCCTCAGACCGTCTATATCACGATGCGTACCTATATTATTACTATGGTATCGTAGTATACCTACAAATAGAGTCATAACAAGAGGGCTGCATTTACATAATCCAATAATGGATTTACAAATGGTCCGCGTACACTACACTGGTACGGACACACGCACGCACGCACGCAAGCAAGCTTACTTATATGTAATAATAATAATAATAATAATATTATAATGCAGTGCATAAGAGAGCAGTGCAGACACACCGCGGCCGGCAACGACGACGGTATCAAAGACGAGTAGCTGATTATCATAATACAAGACGTATATACCTACGTCGACGTTGCTGTAAAGTATATTATATTATTATTACTATTATAGAGAAACCCGCCGCGCCGCCGCCGCCGGGCACAACACGAACGAGACAATATTAATATGATAATAGTATAACATCGCAAACAATAAAATGGTGACAACGATAATTTTTTTTTTTTTTTCCCGATCGGTTTGCCATAATATTACTGCACAGTAATAATAATAATAATAATGTAAAGGCAGGACAGCTGCGATATATATATATTTATACAATATCCGACCACCGCCGCGCGATAGCTGCAGGGATTCGCATAACGTTTGTTAGGTATTTATTACATCAGCTGACCTGATGCAGTTGCAGTTTGCAGTTGCAGTTGCAGTCGAGTCGATTGAAAGATATTGTGTCAATATTTTTTGCAGTAATATATTAATTTCTTCTAAACCGAAACTCGATTACCTATATTATATCTTTCGGATCGAAATCGTATAACTATAAATGAATAAAAAATAAAAATTCAGATATATTATTTGCTGACAGCAAATAATATATCTGAATTTTTATTTTTTATTGTGGCTTTTTCAGTACCCTAGGATAAGGAATTATTTTCTATTGCTTCAATCTTTTAATGTTAGAAATAGGTATTTTAAATTTATATTTATATTTTTTTTTCTTAAATTGCAATCAAACTGTTCATAATGCTAATCTGATCACTTTCTACGATACCAACATGTGTAGGTATGTGCTTAAAGGTAGTAGATATATGATTTTATAGGTGCTGTTGACCACCCACATATTATGTTATGTGAGTTTGATTAAAATGTTAGCGACGCTACAATTTTAAAAGTAGCTAGAGTACCTCTACTAATTTATTCCCAAGTCAAACACTGATACCTAGGTATTGGCTCTTTTGAACGCAAGTGTTATATGTAGCGCGTAGGTTGGATGTAGAAATAAGTTCGCTGAAAACGCTGACGATATCCTCTTAATCGTTTTCATCTTGATCGGTTTATGGTGCGATGTGGTGTATTGACTAGTGTATACACTAGGTATGAATATTTTTTTTTCTTTACAGAGGTCATAAAAATACATCAATCGTTTTAGACTATACTCTGCAAACGTTTTTTTTTTTTTGGTGGAGGGGGCAAAATTAATTTTAAAAATAAATAAAGATTTTTTTTATACATTTCATGCTTACATTTTATAAGTAACCAGCTATGTTTACTATAAATWGACGCTTTGGAAAACAATTTAAAATTCTAGCTAGGGGGTAAGTGCTCCATATTTCTATACCTCCGGAAACATGTAATGTAATCTCCTACAAAAGATAGTGTTAACTCCTGCAACATTAATACACAATATTATACAAAAGTACAAACTTAAAACACAAAAATTGATTGAAAAAAAAAWATTTAATAAAGCAATAGTCATAATCATTTATGTTTATCTTTGTCACATAGTTTGACCTCATATACATTTATTTTTTGTGTATGCATAAATTCATATTTTATTAGTGTTTGTATTTTATATATTTATTATTTTCAAATTATGATCAATTTGAGCTTTTCAACTCCAAAAATGTCCATGTAGGAGATTTACGTATGAAGGAAAATGGACGAAATTTACATCAACAAGCGATGAAAGAAAACCAAAATAAATGCTAAAATTAGATAAGGAAAAAAAAGTCATATTGAACGAAAGGGCCAAAACCCTAGTAAGATTATAGGTAGACCTAACAGATAATTATATTTAAAACTAAACCATCATGTATATCATTGAACATTTTTTGAAAAAATCAACCAATCCATTAAAATTATATTTATTTGTATGTACCTATATGACATTTTTTTTTAAAACCGATGAAATCAAACGACTTATTGAAATAATGTATACCCTTGGCGCTTATTACGTCGTACGTTGAGTATAACAGGCATAACATATTAGACGAGCGCTTACGTCCCACAATTTTTGGCCCAAATGATATGTAATTTGTTGTTCTACCTTTATTGGCGCGTATAAACATATGTCATCAAACAGCCATCACACTGGGTCGCGGCTTACAGTCACAAGGCATCACCGGGATCCCAATCAGGTTATACTGCGATACACTGCAGTACTGCACATATACCTATTATTATGCTCATTCGAATGCACATGGGTATAAGTGGCTTAGAAGATTAATGACGTCAATAAAAATAAAAAAATAAATAAAAAAAGTACGCGCGCCAAGCCATCGGCGTTATTAGGCCCGTGAGTCGGTGCTTTTTTTTATTTTTATATACATACGGAGCTAAACGCGTATGTACACGCACATGTGTACGGTATATATGTATATATGAGAATTTAATATATTTAGTGTTATGGGATGTTTACATCATATTATATATTATACTCGCGCGAGACTATTTACACATACAATGGACCAGTAGACGTCTTGACCGCACCGGGTTGGCATAGGTTAACTCTCTAATAAAATAAAATAAAAAA